CAAATAGTTGTTTGGATCCTTTTTAAATCCTAATGATAACAGAAATCACCCAAATCGCCCAGATCAAAAGTTTACATCCCCTGGAATGTTTGGCCTTGGTACAGACACACAAGGTGACACACACGGGTTACAATTTTCAACATTTGTGTTTTATATATAGTTTTGAATGTGTAAGGTTATTTTTTATTAAAAAAGCAAAACCCGAAGTACATTAAGAATATGTCTTTTAAAACCTTACAAAACATAGAAAAATTGCCCCATGGCCACACTTCATTTTTAACTCATATACACTCATATACAAATAATTAAAGCCAAACTCCCTGAAAGCAGCTGCATATACTGATTTTATCTATATATATATATATATATATATATATATATATATATGGGCTCTGTTTTACCTGGCAATGGATATGTATTTCTGTCCATCCAGTTTTGAGATCTTCATTGAACTGCCACCCTACAACCACCATAGTCGTGTTTGGCACAAGTTTGCAGCACGGTTCATTTAAGTTTAAAAAGGCAGTGCTGTCTGTCAAATTGGAAGTGTCGAATACAAATTGCTGGACTGCAAAGCTTCACAGCTGTGGCAATAACTACTATAAATTTGGAGGTGGGTGATCGAGGATCAACCAACTGTTTTTACTGCCTCTCTGATCCCAACAGGACTTCTAGCTGGCCACACCCCAGTTGAATTTTGATTGAAAATGTTCATCTTCTGACGTTGTGACAAGAAAAATTTGAAGAAGCAGGATGGAAGATTCTTCTTGAATAAATTAATTTCTTGCTGTGAAAGTGTTTTTTTTTGGGGGGAAAATAGTACATATTTATTTATTTCAGGTACTTATATAGCACCATCAATTTACGCAGCACTTTACATATATATTGTACATTCACATCAGTCCCTAACCCTCAAGGAGCGTGCAATCTAAGGTACATTATTATTACTATACAGGATTTTATATATTATTATTATTATTATACAGGATTTATATATTATTATTATTATACAGGATTTATATAGCGCAACAGTTTGCTCAGCGCTTTACAATATAACAGGAGACAATACAGCAACAATACAGTTCAATACAAGAGGGATAGGAGGGCCTGATCCTAAGAGCTTACAATCTAGGAGATATGTAATGAAACCTGTTTAAAAGGTCTGGGATTTCATTCAAGCATTAGGTCTGGATGAAATTTTAAAGTGTTACTAAACCCCGGACCCTGCATTCACTATATCTGGTCTCCCACAATACACAGAATATTGAAATGCAATTATTTTAGTAAATATAAACTGCTAAATACCTTTTCTCATCAGCAGTATATAGCAGTCTTGTGACTTCTATAAGTGTCCAGCTGAGCACTGGTTAAAACCTGTGGGGGGAGTTTTCATTCTCCTCTGATTGTCCCTATGAGACTGTATACCCCTGGCCTTCTGTCTGAACAATGCTGATTGGCCTTGTGCTGATCAAATGCACCCTCCCAAAGAAAAAAAAAAAACAATAGCAATACACATTAATTTGAGCATGTGCAGAGTGACTGCTAGAGCTCTGTACTATTAGCAGATGGATTGGGAACAGTAGAAAAAGGGGAGAATCAGAGAAGACAGGATCTAACAGCCTTTTTACACAATGCAGAGGATTAACCCCTTAGGTTTCTCAGTAAGTATAAGCAAGCATGCTTTACTGCATATACAGACTGATTTTACTGTTGTGGGTTTAGTAACACTTTAAGGGCTTTCAACAGAAATTAGATGACTCAATGATGGCATAAAAGAATAATTTGACAAGTGTTTTTTCTACGAATGTTCAAAAGAAAATTTTAACCAACTACAAAAAAGTGTAAGACTTGAGGCACTTTAATAGGAAGTATCTGACAAACATGCAAAAATGTCTATAAATGTTGTAGCTGTAAATGACACGCTACTGCTGAATACCTTCATGAATATCAGCTTCCAGCATACACAAATCCTAAAGTTAGCAATGACATTAGATAGTTGTCAGATCTTGAGGCATTACTAATCAGCACTGGTCTAATAGGGCAGCACAGTGGCTAAATGGTTAGCACTTCCGCCTGGCAGTACTAGGGTCGTTGGTTCGTATCCCAGCCACAGCACCACCTGCCTGGAGTTTGCATGTTCTCCCTGTGCCTGCATGGGTTTCCTCCCACACTCCAAAGACATGCTGGTAGGTGAATTGGATCCTGTCTAAATTGGCCCTAGTATGTGTATGAATGTGAGTTAGGGACCTTAGACTGTACGCCCCTTGAGGGTGAGGGACTGATGTGAATGTACAATATATATGTAAAGCGCTGCGTAAATTGATAGACTCATTTAGCTGAGATTTACAGCTACTTTTACCAGCTTCATTTACAAGTGAAAGGCTTGCTGTAGATCTACATAGCCTTGGGTCTATGCAGCAAAAGGGTGCAAATATCTTGTCCCATATTCATTTACCTAATTCCAATTTATGACTCAGATACTGAAGTTATTATTATTATTATTATACAGTATTTATATGGCGCCAGGAACTTTGCTCAGCACTGTACAGAGTAGTGGGGGACAGTACATGAGACAATACAGTAACAATACAATACACGAGGGGTTCGAGGGCCCTGCTCTTTCGCGCGCTTACAATCTAGGAGGGAGGGGATAATGGCACAGGAGGAAGTGGCTGTGGGGGATGGAGTGGTAGGAGGAGTGGAGGAAATTGGCTGTTAGGTGAGGGTGGGGTAGGCTTCCCTGAAGAGATGGGTTTTCAGGGTGCACCTAAAGGTGAGAAGGGTAGGTGATAGTCTGATGGATTGGGGTAGTGAGTTCCAGAGGATGGGGGAAGTCCTGGAGAAGTCCTGCAGTTGGGCGTGGGAGGAGGAGACCAGGGAGCTAGTAAGTAGGAGGTCTTGTGAGGAGCAAAGAGTGCGGGTTGGGTGGTATTTGGGTATCAGGTCGGTGAGGTAGTTCAGAGCAGTGTTATGAATGGCTTTGTACGTCAGTGTTAGTAGTTTGAATTTAATGCATTGGGCAATCGGACCCAGTGGAGGGAATGACAGAGGGGGGTGGCGGATACGGAGCGGGTGGCAAGGTGGATGAGTGGCCACTGAGTTCAGGATAGACTGAAGCGGGGATAGCCTGTGAGGAGGGAGTTGCAGTAGTCGAGTCGTGAGATAATAAGGGAGTGTATGAGTTGTTTAGTAGTGTCTGGGGTTAGGAACAAGCATATTTTAGAGATGTTGCAGAGGTGGAGCCTGCATGAGTTTGCCAGTGATTGGACATGGGGTTGGAAGGACAGGTTTGAGTCTAAGTGGCACCTAGGACTTTGGCTTGCGAGGTGGGACTGATGGTGGCATTGTTGTTTTCGTGATAGAGAGGGTGGGGGTGGGGGCTGGGGGAAAATTAGGAGCTCGATTTAGGAAAGGTTTAATTTGAGGAAGTGGAGCGACATCCAGTCTGAAATGTCGTTCAGTAGGTGGGTGATACGGGTGGAGACTGAGGGGGTGAGGCGAGGGGTGAGAGAGGTAGATTTGTGTGTCATCGGCATAGAGGTGGTAGTTGAAGCCGTGGGAGTGTATCAGTTGGCCAAGGGAGAGGTATAGATGGAGAAGAGAAGGGGCCCGGGGACAGAGCCTTGGGGAACCCCAACAGAGAGGGGGAGAGAGGGGGAGGTGGTAGCGTTATAGGTAACGCTGAAGGAGCGTTGGGAAAGATAGGAGGAGAGCCAGGAGAGAGCGGAGTCTCTGATGCCAAGGGAGTATAGTTTATTAAGGAGGAGGGGGTGGTCAACTGTGTTGAAGGCGCCGAAGAGGTCGAGGAGTAAATGGACTGAGTAGTGGCCAGTAGCTTTGGCGGTTAGCAGGTCATTAGTGATTTGAGTAGGGCGGTTTCGGTGGAGTGTAGGGGATGGAAGCCAGACTGTAGTGGATCGAGGAGGTTGTTGTCATTGAGGTGGGAGCTTAGGCGATCGTAGACCAAGCGCTCAAGGAGCTTGGATGTAAATGGCAGCAGGGAGATGGGTCTAAGGTTGCTCAGGTCGGAGGGGTCCAGGGAGGGTTTTTTTAAATATGGGGGGGTGATGTGCGCGTGCTTTAGGGGGGAGGGGAATGCGCCAGTAGAGAGGAAGAGAGATTGAAGATGTTGGTGAGGGAGCATAGGATGGAGGAGGAGGGTGACCGGGGAGGAGTTGTGTGGGGACAGGGTCAAGGGGGCAAGTGGTGAGGCGGACTTCTGTGAAGACCTTAGTGATCTCTTCAGTGGTAGCAGGGCTGAGGGAGGGGAGTGTTGGGGAGGCTTTAGTGCGCGGGATGTTAGGTGTGGTGGGGGTCAGGGCGATTGCGAGGTCAGAGGAGGGGAGAGTTGCAGGGGTTATATTGGGAGGGAGGGAGGCTAGGTAGATTGAGCATTGGCGATGTCCTTACGGATTGCGTCGATCTTGTTTTGGAAATGGTTGGCAATCTCGTGGGCGGTGAGTGAGGGTACTGGGTGGAGGTGGGAGGGGGAGAGAGTAGGGAGTTGAAAGTGGAGAAGAGCAGGTGGAGAGGGAATTAATGAGGGTTACGAAGTAGGCTTGTTTGGAGATGTGGAGGGAGGAGGTGTAAGTGAGGAAGGAGGATTTGTAAAGGGTATACGCTTGAGGGGATCTGGTTTTGCGCCATAATCGCTCCAGCGCGCGACTGCGTAGTTTAAGATTTTTGGTGCGGTCGTTCTGCCAGGGTTGAAGCGGTTGGGGTCTGATGCTGCGTGTGATTAGGGGTGCTAGGGAGTCTAAGGCAGCTGACAGCGAGTTGTTATACGCAGTATTGGCCAGGTCGGGGCAGGACAGTGGCAGGATACTGTCGTACAGACGGTCAGCTGCAGAGTGGAGAGGGGCCAGGTTCAGGTTGCGGAGGTTACGCTGGTGATGGTTTGATGTTTGGGGGGGAGGTGTTTGAGGACGGGGAGACGGAGAATGTAATGAGTTTGTGAAATAACTTTGATTTACCAAAAGCACAGATAAAAAAGTGGTTACCTCTTTGGAGTGACGAGATATGGTGTTAACGATGGTCATTGTGGTCTATGATGACGGTTAAGCAGGTAATCTGGTAAACAGTGTTACAGGGCAAGCTGCAATATACACAAAAAAAAAACATAAAGGATGTAAGGCTTTAGTAACCTAGTGACAAGTACTAGTGCAGAAAGACAACATTTATCCTTAACTACGAAAAGTAATCTTTGCTATGGGGGGCGCTCATTCATGCTTGCTGCCATTGACATACTGACCGTGGCTCTCGGTATTGCCCCCCTCTCTCAACTCCCTGGCAATGGCTCCTGCTACTGCCTCTCTCTCCAATGAGAAGAGAGAAAGCTGAGAGAGCTGCTGCTCTTATGTACATCACTGGCTCAAGTTTAGGCTCAGCTAAGTATTTAGTGTGGAAGAAGGGGTAACTGCATGCAGAAGGTGTTTAATATACACTAAGGTAAAGCACCTTCTACATTTAGAACCACTTTAAGTACTAACCTGTATATCATATCAGGACTATTTTTCAGTTTTCAGTGCTGTGATAGTTTTGCTCACAATTACTCAGTCATGCAACACTGTACACCAGGGGTCTCCAAACTTTCTAAACAAAAGAACCGTTTACTGTCCTTAAGTTTTTAGGGGGACCAGACTGGGGCCATTGGGAGTCCCAACACCAGTGGGAAAAAATGCCCCAACTTTGATGTCAATGGAAGGAATAATGCCTCATTGTTTGTGTCATTAGGAGGAATTGTCCCCCATCATTGGTGTCATTGGGCCCCATAGTTGGTGTAATTGGGAGAAATTGTACCCCTTCATTGGGGTCTGTGGGGGGAATTATGCTCCATTGGTGGTATCAGTGGATGAAATAGTGCCCCAAGGGCTGGATGAAAGCAAGCAAAGGGCCACATCTGGCCCCAGGTTCGCAGTTTGGAGACCACTGCTGTACACAAAATGAATGTTATATAATTTTTTTGTAGACAGAGTTTTCTTTTGGTGGTATTTAAAGTGATACTAAACACACACTGTTTAGTTTACATTGTCCCTTCTATTTCTGTATATGGATTATGGCACTGTAATTATTTTAATAAAAAAGAAACATCAAAGTACCTTTTTCTGTCACTATGAAAATTACACAAGACTGGTACCAAATCTAAAACACGTTAGCAGCATCTAAACACATAATAAAATTTTAATGAACACATGGCTGCGTTATTTTTTTAATACCTGCTTGGAATTCAGCTTAATTAGTGTATTTGTATCATGATAAGAATGGTTATGAACAGCATACATTGGTTTACAGTCATTAGTGAACTTACTAAAGCATTCAATCTCTATAGAACCTGAATGTCAGGTAGGGATTTACGTCTTTACATACCAACCACCTCTTCCCAACCTATGTTTGAACCCTGTGATCATCTTCAAGATCCTGAAATATTAGACTATTAGTTTCTCCATGTTAAAAAAAAGGTGAGAAGGGTAGTCTGGAGAGTCTGTTTTGCACACCTTTAAAATATTGCAAATCAGACCTTCAGGGCTCGTTCACACCATGATCGAGAGATGTCAGTTGCAGGGGCGGACTGACAACTCATGGGGCCCCTGGGCAATAGGGGACCATGGGGCCCCTGTGTCCTTGCTCACACTCAAACCACACCCAAAAAACCTATGAAAAAGGTACCAGGAGCATCTCATGGGGCCCCCCTTCTGACCCAGGGCCCTCGGGCAGTGCCCGAGTTCCCAAATGGTCAGTCCGCCGCTGGTCAGTTGTTCTACAAAGGGAACACCCAAACCAATTGTTCTCTATGTGCCCTGTTCACACCACAACACTAGTAACAGATTTTTTTCTTTGCAGGAATCTGCAACATGTATAACACTCATTGAAGCACACACATGAAAACTGATGTAAAGTAATATCTCTGCAAGTGGAATCTGCATGTCAGTTTCCATCGGTTTGCAGCACATATGGTGTGAATGAGGCCTCAGACTACCACTCAATGAGAATACCTGGATCATATCCTCATTCTACAACACTAAGCAACTATCATTCAGTTTTTTTACTGAAGGTACAGGGTAGCTTCTTACACTCATTTTGATTAGAAAGCGGTCTCTTTCTTTCACTGTTATATTTTTCTCTATCATACCTACAGCCCCATCTGTATCAGGGGAAACTGTGATGGAATTTAAATGTAATAGACATTAAAGCGCAGTTCTAGTGACCTCACTTACAGAAAGATAAAAATTGATAAAAAATAAAACAAGTCCAGAGATGGGCATTAAATTGTTTCATGGTAAATGGTAAAAGGTCTGACAAATAAAACACATCAGGAAAGACCTCAGAAAATCGTACACACTGCATCTTGAAATGCATTTTTAATACAAAATATATGAAAAAATATTTTAAAAAATACATTTTCAAATTGTCTTTAAAAATAAAAATCTACATTTTTGGAATGCATTTACAAATATATGTAAAAATATATGTTAAAATTACTTTTTTATATGTTAAAAAAAAATCTGAAGAATATATTTAAAAACAATATATGGCCAAAATATATATATATATATATATAAAATTAAATATATAATTTGAATATATAAATATATATATATATATATTTATAATATATATTTTGAAATATATTGAATATGGCCAAAATTGTAGCATTTCAAATATATGTCAATATATTTGGGAAGAATATTTTAAAAAATATATTTCAAATACATTTTTCTTCTATATGGGTATATACACTCAACAAGAACCAGGGATGGTACAAGTTCAAAATATTGTGTTGTAATCCTGCTGCAGACAAGCACAATGAAGGTGAAATATTGCAGAGCCTCATATCTGCTCACAATGCCTCAAATGATCCCACTGATGAGATTATATACAGTCCCAGCTGGAATGGAATTGCTAGGGCCTTGTCAGGAGTGGACTGACCATTTGGAAACTCATGAACTGCCCGAGGACCCGGGGTCAGTAGGGGGCCCCATGAGATGCCCCTGGTACCTTTTTCATAGGCTTTTTTGAGTTTGGGCAAGGACACAGGGGCCCCATGATCCCCTATTGCCCGGGGGCTCCATGAGTTGTCAGTCCGCCCCTAGGCCTTGTTCACATGCATTGCTCCTAATGCCCCTGATGTGGAGGGACTGTCCCTCTTTTGGAAGCAAATCCCTCCATCCCTCTGTCCTTCTCATTTGTCCCTCTTTGGTCTGATGTATAGACCTTTATAAAGAAATGTACTATTTAGTTGCTAGAAGTGTTAGGCCTCCTGCATACTATGTTCTTTTGAAAGTTTGGGGGGTTTATTAATTTCATTGGCCAAAATATTGAAGTAGAACTATAGGCAAAACTTATTTTTATTACACCTGTCAGGGCTTACGTCCATTGTACCATTTTTGCTTGTTATCGGGGCACAATGTCCATCTCTGGAGCTTGTATCCAAATTACGGTCTACTTGTGACTTGGAGGTCAGCAGGAGGAACCAGTGAAAGCTGCAGAGGACACAGGCAGGGGTAAAACTAGAAATTGCAGAGCTCCATAGTAAAAATGTTAATGGGTTCCCCCAACAGAGAAAAAAACACTGTTCTACAAGATCCTATTTGCAGGTGATGAAGGATTGAAAAAGACACAGCGGTGATAATGAGGTAAGTATGGATCTGTATATTATTATTATTTATTATTATTATTATACAGTATTTATATAGCGCCAAATGTTTGCTCAGCGCTGTACATTATAATGGGAGACAGTACACGAGACAGTACAGTAACAATACAATGCGAACATGAGAGGTTCGAGGGCCCTGCTCCTTGGAGCTTACAATCTAGGAGGGAGGGGATAGTGGTACAGGAGGAAATAGCTGTGGGGGACGGAGTGGTGGGAAGAGCGGAGGAGATCAGGGCAATTAGGTGAGGGCAGGGTAGGCTTCCCTGAAGAGATGGGTTTTCAGGGTGCGCCTAAAGGTGAGGAGGGTAGGTGACAGTCTGATGGGTTGGGTAGTGAGTTCCAGAGGATGGGGGAAGCCTCTGAAGAAGTCCTGGAGACGGGCATGGGAGGAGGAGACCATGGAACTAGAGAATAGGAGGTTTTGTGAGGAGCGGAGGGTGCGTTTTGGGTGGTATTTGGGTATCAGGTCGGTGATGTAGATTGGGGCAGTGTTATGGATGGCTTTGTACGTCAATGTTAATATTTTGAATTTTATGCGTTGGGCAATCGGAAGCCAGTGGAGGGATTGGCAGAGGGGGGAGGACGGATACAGAGCGGTTGGTGAGGTGGATGAGTTGGCCGCAGAATTCAGGATAGACTGAAGTGGGGATAGCCTGTGTTGGGGTAAGCCGGCGAGGAGGGAGTAGCAGTAGTCAAGTCGTGATATGATAACGGAGTGAATGAGTTGCTTTGTGGTTTCAGGAGTTAGGAGCGTGCGTATATTTAGAAAATGGACCGCTAAGGTCCCAAATTGACAAAATAAACTGTGCAATCTTTAAAGTGATATCACTGAGCAAAATACAAATAAAATATTAATATTCAGTCCCAACATGTGAATAACACAACGGTGCTGTATCTTTAACGTTGATACTCCATACAGAAATGACAAGTGCTTCACTGTGCTCACACTGGTGCCCCACATAGATGTAAACTCACCGTCATTTCATGACCACCTATCTCTAGGTAAGTCACACTTGCTTTTTGGGACTATCCCAGTTTGTAATCTGGTCCTGATGGTCGATATCCCTTTGCCCTTATAACCGTAGTTGCTGGTAGTAACCAATAACTTTCCACTAGATCTGCATCAATGTTAGGCCACTTCTCTTCCTCCACAGGCAGTGTTTCACATTTTCAGCATAAATCAAAACAAAACCAGACATCCCATCAAAAAAAAAATCAAAACAAAACCAGACATCCCATAGTGTAAAACTGTATAAAACTTTGACCACTTCCCGACCGGCCGTTGTATATAAACGGCCGGACGGTGGCAGTGCAGGGTCGGGTGGCCATTTATAAATGGCCTCCCCACGCCCCTGCTTGTTCACGCTTGCTCCCCGGGAG